CTGAGGTTTTCTCTTCATGGCTGCCCTGGGAACCCTGAAAAGAGGCCTGGCAAGCAGGATCCCTTGGCTCAGCTCAAGCCTGACTCCTGAGTGGGATTTGGTCCTCCAACCCTGACCCGACCCTGGAAGGCTGATCGCTTGAGACAGTTCCGGCAAGCTCTGAAAGGAGCTCAGTGCTGGCTGCTTTTGCTGAGGCAGGGTTCTGAGGTTTTGTTTCTGCTTTCTGTTCATGCCAGGCTGAGGATGGACTTGCACAAGGTGGGGCCTCTACAATGACCGTGTTCCACCAGCCTGGTCTGGAAGCAGTGCCATTGGGAGGAAGCACCTTTCTGAACTGCTGCTTTGCCACCACTGTCCTTAACCCAGGCGAGGCAGTTCTGGAAGCATGGGGATGTGGGTGTGTGCTAATGTGGGTGCAGAAGATGGGGACGGGTGCGCTCTGTCTAGACAGGGCCACCCGATGAGGCTATTCCCTAAAACAAGTCTGTCTTCTACCTGGGACACCTCTTGGAAATCAGGGAACTATTCTTATTTTTCAACAAAACTCTCCTAACCTCCAAGGGGAAAAAGAGAATCTGTCCTCTGAGACAGGTGGCAGAGCTACTACACGAAGGAGGTCAGTCACCATCAATGGCAGCTTTGAAGCAAATGTGATTTAGGAGCAAGAATTGGAGGAACAGATTTTGGCCTGCCTTGCACGACCTCTGAAATCTTGGACCAGGTCTTAGTTTCCTACTTGTAGGGCAGAACAAGAGATTCCCAGCTTCCAGAGTTGTCAGGAGGATAGAACTCATGCATTTAAAGGGTTCAGTGCAGTTAATTATTTTAAACTATACCCCGTACTTCTAGAAATAGACATGAGTTCTCCTGCCCAAAACTTGCTTCTCAATTGCAGTTGACAATGAGGTTCTCCTGACACTGGTGACGCCTCAGGGAGCTGTGGGTAGGCCTTTATTTCTAAAATCGGAACAGGATCACAGGGAGTAAGACGGGTAGGTTCAGCATGTTGCAGTGGTGGGGGCTTGGGGTCTGAGCTGGGCAGACTTGAGCTCCGGCCTCTTTTGGGCAGGGAGGGGCTATCTGATGTGACTGTGGGCAGGTCCCTTCCTCACATGCAGAAAGGAAAAATGTGAGGGTTGTTGGGAAGATCAAATGAGAACTATGCATTAAGTGCTTAGCAGCTCAATAAATTTTACTTAAAAAAAAAAAAAGAGGCCTCAGGGCGGGAATCGAATTTCTGTAACTCACTGACCTGAAGGGCCACTGTCTCTGAATAGGGAGCTGAAGGCTGGGAAGGGTTAGCTGGGGGGTGGGGAAGCTGGAGTGCAGCAGGCCTCCTTCCTGTGTGACTCCAGAAAGGGTATTTTTGCCTTGGGGAGCTGGAAGGAGAGAATTGGCTCCAGTTTTATAATCGGAAACAAGAAAAATAACAGGCCTAAAGAATTCATTTCTGGGAAACACCACCACGAGATGACATTAGCACCTAGTACATTATTCCCAACGGAGGGGAAGTCAGAGCTGATGTCCATGAATAAAACGTTCAATTTTTTCTTTTCTTTTCTGGACATCAGTGTGAGGCTTGAGGTCAGCTCAGCTGGTTCTCAGCATCCAAGGTCTTCCCCTCAGTTCCTGGCTGCCAGCTGGCCCTTGCAGTGCATGTTGCGATCAGGCAACTGATAAGGCCACTTTGTTATTAGCCTTTTATAAAGACAACACCTGTCCTCAGGCACCCATGCAAGGGACCTAAACCACTGCCGTAGACAGACAGCTCTCCGACCCAACAGGAAGCTGGGAAGAAGCCAGTAAAGCAGAGTCTGGCCCTCATGGCGTGAAGTCTAACTCTCTGGCTGGCACCCTGTATCACCACCAACCAGTGCCAGGAACCAGACCTGAGCAGGATAGAAACACCTGGGACACAGGTATTTGCAGTCTTTTGGGGAGACTAGATGCATCAGTTCAGCCAGCCCTATCCTCACCCCAACCTCCCATCCACTAAGCACCTGCTACTCCATGTCAGTGCTGCCAGGGACGAGCAGGATGAGGTACCGCCCAAGTGCCTTCCATCAGAGGTGGGGGCAGGACAGTGGTGGCAAACAGGAAAACAAATGAGTACTTTTGGCTAAAAGTAAGGTATATGAAGATCCTGGGAAAACAACAGGGCAGTCCCTCAAAATGTGAAATTATCATTTGGCCTAGCTTTCACTGCTAAGTGTAGACCCAAAGAACTGCAAACAGGTGCTCAAAGTCATATACGTGAATGTTCATAGCAGCACTCTTCAGAAAAGCCCGAAGGTGGAAAAACCCAGATGTCCATCAAGAGCGGAATAAATGAACAAAATGTGCTCTATCCACACAGTAAGTATTATTCAGCTATAGAAAGGGAGGCAGTTCTGACACGTGCTATGGCATGGATGGACCTTGAAAACAATTTGCAGAATGAAGGAAGCCAGGCAGAAAAGGCCGTACGATTTGTATGTAATATCCAGGGACAGAAAGCAGATTAATGATTGCCGGGACAGGGGAGAGGAGTGGATGGAGAGTGACTGCTTAACGGCAATGGGGTTTATGCTGGCTGGAATTAGCAGAGGTGATCATGCCATGTTATGGCTGTCCAAGATGCCCCTGAATAGTTCAAATGGCTAACTTTATGCTTTGTGAACGTTACCTCAAGTTAAAAAGCAAAAAATAGTTGCCTCACTGAGAGGAGCTAGGGTGGGCGGGGCATTTTGGGAAGGCCCCCAGGAGGCATCAGAACAGATCCAGGCTCAGGGAAATGGGAAGATGTGTAGAGGCCCTGAAATGGAGTATACTTCCCCCTGGTCAGGGCTGGACAGAAAGCCAGCGCTGGGCTGGGTTACATGCAGAGCACTGGGTGGGCAGGGAAACTAGAAACTAACCCTCCTGGAAAGATGGGAGACAGACGATATGAAATATGGATACTGAGAGGGGTGGGAAAGGAGGCACTGAAGGGGTGTTAGTTGTTTAGTGGCAAAGATGTAACTAAATGCCTCCTGCTCTACCACTGAATTACATCCCCAACCCAGCATGGGAGGGGTTTAAGCAGGTTAGAGAGCTGTGACAGAGTCCAAGTTATTGGGCTACTTGGTGGGTCACTAAGGCCCCATCAATGAGGGTTGGTAGATGTTATCTGCTGGTCACTTGGATCTGAGAGTCTTGGACTGTGATCTGTCAGCTCCCCCCATACCACCGTACCCACCAGGTGAGCACCTGCAAGCAGCCACTGCTCTGGGAGGTCACGGCCCTGGGGAAGAGCCACCCAGAAGGCCACCTAGAGTTGTGGGAAAAACACCCTCATGGGCTAGTTTTGGACAAGCTGCCCGCCATGGCAGATTCTGGAAAGCTGCTTTGGCCATGGGTCCCGAAGGGCATTAGCCAGAGTCCAGACTGGCAAGTGCCTTACTCATCTGCACACACCAGCCACCACTGAGCCCTCCCTGCTAGACAGGGTACACACACGAGTTTCTCCCCCATGGAGCCAAATACATAGGGACAAAAGCCATAAACATAAAACTGGCTAATAAACAGTTTATGATTTCTTACTAAGCCAAATGGCAGAAGAAAAATACACCAGAGTGGCTAGTCACCTATTAGCTCTGATTTATACTCTCCTTTACTATCTCCTCCAAGGAAATGAAAGGTATATTTTCATCAAATATAATCTTTTATAGCTTCTAAAGGAGGGACAAACTACTGTATGACAATTACTTGGACAAGCAGATAAAACTGGAAGATGTGTCCGAATAAAGCATACTCTGCGAGCAGCCATCCTGAGGCACGAGGCCGGAGTTGTTTTCTTCCTTGTGAATTATTCCCCAGGCAGAAGCAAGAATCCCATATAGCCTGGCTTTGTAACAGCGTGCTTTGTGGCCAAGGACATCATTCCAGAAGGTAGGAAAGGGTCATGCCCAGAGCCCACAGGCCCCTGATGGCAGCTGCAGGTACTGCAGCATCAAGATCCTGTTGGGCTGGCTTCTGATGGCCCCTGACCACTACCCCGCCGCCTCTCTAGCCCCACTCTACTGAGTTTCACCTTACTCAAGGTGAGAGTGGCAAAACTCAGTAGATGTGCAGCCAACTCATTGCCTGGTGCACCTGCCCTGGACAAATAGGTGGCTCACTTAGATCTTCTGGTGTCTCAGTGCTCCTGCGCTACCTTGTCAAAGAGCCACAGACTAAACCACCAAATGTTTATGGTCCAGAGGGAGCCTACCTGTCCTTCTGGTATTTGGACAAAGGAGAAGGCCTTTGCAAAGAAGAAATACAGGCTTATTCATCATTCAACAGACACGGAAGGAAGCCACAGTGCTAGGTGCTAAGAGACAGCAGCGGGTGGGACAGACTATGGTCCCATACAGGTGACTTTCTCCACTGGGAAGAAAGGTCATAGGCAGGTACACAAATATGTCAGCCAGGTAATATGGTGCCATGGAGAAAACAAAACAGACTAATATGTGAGAATGGAAGCATAACTCTAGCCAGTGGGGTCATAAGAAAAGGTCTCTTAGAGGAGGAGGCACATAGGCTGGGCTTGAGCAATGAGTGGGTCTAGACAAGAGTATCTAATGCCCTGGGGTAGGAAAAAGCTCAGTTACCTAGGGCAGTGGTTCTCAAATTGAGCTTTGGGAGTCCACATTTTCCTAAAAATAGTAAGACATAAATTTCCTTTTATATTCATTTTCCCAGGAGTACACTAAGGAGTTTTCCAGAGGCTACATAATGTATGCTAGAACAGCAGCCTGAAAGCAGAGGTGGAGGGGAATCCAGCTGTTTTCTATTAAGCCAGACATTAAAGAGCTCTGTGAAAATGTAAAATCATTATTTCTGTCTTAGAAAAGTTATTATTCATAGAAAACCATGCCATTTATGTTTATATACAATAGATTTATTAGACAATTACTGAAAACATTCTTAGCTTTAATTTCTAATGTCCTGAATACTGGCAGTTATAATCCACAGAACAAAAGCTCTTTGGGTTCCTCAGTATTGTACTTCAGAGCGGGAAGGGGTTCTGAGCCCCTGATCAGAGGAGTGCTGATGTTGAGGAGCAGGGTAGCTTTCTAGGGTAGGGATGTGCAACTGTGGGAGAATCACATTGGGGGGACTTTGAGAGGCTGGCTGGGGCCACATCTCCCAGTAATCACACAAGACCAGAGGGGGAGATTTGATTTTGTTCTAAGTGCAATGGGAAGCCACTGGAAGGTTGGAGGAGGGTTATGACACAATTTGATTTATGGCTTGGAAAGATCCAGTTGGTTGAATGGAAAGGAGAGGACAAGACTGGAAGCCAGGGATACTGAAGCTGCTGCTGTCATCATCTTGGGAGAGATATGGGAATGCAGAAAGAGGGGGTAAGTTCTGGAGGAGGGCAGGCAGGGAAGTACGGAAAAGGAGAATTCAGGATGGCTCCCGATGCTGAAAGGCCACTGCCATGGGCCCTGACTACCATGCGGGGGAGGGTCGCTGCCCTCCTCCCAAACAATGCCCATTGTGACCTACACTGCACTCCCATGTGCTCTTCAAGCCGCGCTCTAATGCCAGTCTATACCACAAGGGCAGGGAGACCTCTACGGGGGTGAGCACATAAATGAATATGTCCCCGTCCCATTCCCCACATCTCAATGGCACTTCCACTGAGAGTCTGGGAGAAACCCAGCCAAGGGTTTTGAGAGCTACCTTAGCAACTATGTGTAACTTGCTATAGTCCCAACTAGTCCAGCCTCATATTCCCCAGTCCTGGGGCCAGCAACAGGATGCTAGGTGTCCCAGTTGTGCCAAACCCCTGGCCTGAAGATCTCATACTTGCCCTGGAAGCCTAGACAGGTGGAAGAGGTAAGTAATAGGTTATCATCATTGCAATGCACTCTGCCAAAAGAAAAATGATCATGTAAACACTGAAGAATGTGACACTTGGCTGCCTGTTTATATACACTCCATCTTGTTCCAAAAATGATTAGAATGGAAATAAGGTCTGGGCTTTTCTCCTTCATCATTAAGCTCTGCAAATGAAACAGGCTCAATGACCCAAAAAGAATTTCTTACCAGGCTTATCTCTCTGTGTTTAGTTAAGCTGAACTCACAGCTGCAATTTGTATTTACTGAGCAAGTATCACTACAGAACACAAAACAACCTGGAGAACTTATGAGCAAAAAGCTCTCTGGCCCTGGCCCCTGACATCACCTCACATTCCATCACTGGAGACAGAGGTGGGGCTGCCATCAATCATATGGCCTGGGATTGGTTTTCAGAATGACATTACTGAGAGGCTGTGGATGGCACAGGAAAAGGGACATTTTTTTTTTTTTTTCAGAGTTCATGTTAGGACTACATCAATGAGGATTAAAAATCTTCCCCTTTGACTTGGCAGATCTGCTGGGAATTTATCCTATAGACACGTAAGATTTGCGCAATTAAACAAAGACACCTAAGGGATGGTGATTATGACACCATTAGAGCAAAACACTAGAAATGATCCAAATGTGCACCACGATGAACCATGTTTTGTTATTTCTACAGGGCAGAACACCGTGCAACAGTTAATGAGAATGAAGATGGTTGTATGTGCCAACACGTAACATTGACTTGGCAATGCAGAGCCAAGGTGCAGAGCCACACACGGTATCTTACACCTCCATGTGTGCAACAGGTATGCAAACTCACACATATGACACACAACACTTCTGAAAGGATATACAAGAAACTGTTAGTAGTGGTCACTTGTGGAGCAAAGCAAATTTTTTCATTTTAGCATGTCTTATTTGGATTTAAAAAGAAACACACCCCTACAGTATATACATGATAAATTAATCAAATCAAAGGATGAGAGTAAAATAAATCATGGAGGGGAAAAGGACCTGGACTTGGGGTAGGTTTTTATGGCTGTACTTTGTTTTTAAATCAACAATGGCTTTTGAGAGCACTTTACAACATCTGCAACTCAAGTTTGAACCCTGAACACAGAGGGGTTAGGTGGTGGGGAAGAGCTTGGCTGGTTTTCTATGTTTTGTAATGAAGGAAGGTCTCGCTTTTGAGGGACCAAGGGATCTGGTGCATATGGATGTACTTAAGGCCCATGTGTTGGAAGAGGAAGCAGGGCGGTTCTTGTGGAGCAGTTCTTTCTGCTCTGCCAAAGTGACACTGAACTTTCCATTCGAGTTTCCCCTTTGGGGGAGTGCAGGAGAAGGGCTAAGCCAGCTCTAGAGAGAGTAGGGTGGAAGGAAGCGACAGTTGGTGGGCAGCAGGGCCTTCTTCACACAGCTTTTTTTTCAAGGATTGTACAAGGAACCACACACAGTATCTCCTTCTAGTCATTTTGCCACAACCCACAACCTCATTACTAGAATTCAACTGTTTCCAAGAAACTTCTTAAGTCTTAATTTGGAGAAGTTTCTCACATACCTAAAGAATCTCTAGAAAATCAAACCAAAGGGGCAAAACACCAAAGGGAAAGCCAAGATTTATTTCTAGGGTTTGTGTTTGTGTTATGCTTTTATTCTAAGAAGCAGATGCTTCAAGCTGCTGGGATTTCTCAGAGAGAAAGGGCAATGCGTGCAGGCCCAACAGAGAGAAGGTCTCTGAATCCCCAGCGGGAAGGGACTTACCTGGCACCTTGTCCACAGATGCGAACACAGAGCGCTGCACTGTGGGGTCACTGCTGCCTCGGCGGCCCTGATCATAGAAGCGGAAAGGCAGGTGCTGAGTGGAAGTGGAAGTGCCAAGTCCAAATCCCAGGACTTCGGTTGTTGGCTGGATTGGGAGATCCAGGAGTGCTACAACCAAACAACAGTCTAGTTCATTCTTAGCACGTGGGGTGGGGACCGGCAGGGAGTAACACTTCGGGGTGGCTGTTGTGGCTATAGCCCAACCATTTGGGGCACTTGGGAGATGCCAAGCAGGCAGCCTTGACATGGGGCAAACAGGACTGAAGATCCACCGGGTGTTTAGTGAGGGCTTCAGGCCAAGGTTGAGACCAAGGAGAGAGTTCTAGGCCTGGCCCTTCAAGCAGAATGGATGAATGTTGGGTTTCATGTGTACAAGGCTCTTGTCGATGGCTTGGCTTCTAGTGGAGTTTACAGACCCCAAAGCAAGTAAGGATAATTCTGCTCTGAAAGTTTATATAGACATATATAAATGACCCTCATATCTGCAAGGGCTTGATTGTAGAACCTGCTCAAGTATACCAAAATCTGCAGGTGCCCAAGTTCTGTATGTAAAATGGCCTGGGATTTGCATATAACCCATGACTATCCTCCCACATACTTCAAATCATCTCTAGATGACTTACACTCAATACGATATAAATGCTATGTAAATAATTGTTATACTGGGTTGTTTAGGGAATAATGACAGAGAAAAATCTCTGCATGCTCAGTACAGACACATTTCCTCCCAATATTTCAAACCCTGTTGGCCGAATCCACAGGGGTAGAACCCACTGACGTAGAGTATATGTGCATGGGAAATATGTGTGAGAAAATACATACACATGATGTGCGCATGCGTGTATTTGTGAGTATGTATCTGTCATGGCTGCTGTCCTCCTCTCCATAAACAAATCTCATGATATATTAGTTCAGAGGGGCTTTTTAAAATCAATTTAAGAAATACCCAAGGCGTTAGTTGTAACAGCCACTCTACAGCATAATTCTCAATTTCCAAATGAAATATTTGGCCTTCATGCCAGCTATGAGAAACTGCTTTACATTAAAAAAAAAAAAAAAAAACTCTGAAAATAAATCTTAAAAGAAAGGGCTGAATGATTTAAGTCACTTAGCACATTACAAAATGCTTCTGTAATGATTCTGCAGGCCAAGTTTCAGCTAAATGAGAAATAAGATGGGGGACGACATGGGATGCAGGCTGGTGCAGATTGCCGAGGGATACACAGTAAATCACTGCATTAGAAATGTCCACACAGCCCTCCAACCGTTTATTTTTAGGTTGTCCGTGAGAGTGCCCCTCCTCACCTTGTAACCTGGAAATAGTCTCAGCAGCCACAGCAGAATAACCACTGGTGTCTGAACTGAAGGCACAGGGTATCTTGAGAAAGGCCGTTTGTAATTTTCTGATTGACAATGCAGCACCCCTCATACACACATACACACAATGCCTGGCTTTAACTCTATCCTGTTAAGATGAGCTGAGGGCCCTCATTTCTGTGCCTTACTAGGGAAGCTTCTTCAAAAATTCATCACAACTGTGTGTGGTGGCACACACCTGTAATCCCAGCACTCGGGAGGGTGAGGTAGGAGGATCACTGCAAGTTTGAGGCCAGCCTAGGCTGCAAAGTGAGTTCAAGGCCAGCCTGAACTGCAGAGTAAGACCCTGTCTAAAAAAAAAATCACAATCCTGTGAAATACAAAATGAAGGGGTGGAGATGGGGATGAAATAAAGAATTAAGGCGTGTTATGTATATGTGCTAACTCCTCATGAGGAATGTAATCAGTATGCACTGCAATCATGTACCAATGAAAATAAAAATTCAATAAAAATAAGAGGATTTAAAAAAGAAATGTAAAATGACTTTTGAATTTACTTTGGCACTGCCCCTTACCCAGCAGAGCTGCCTCTCTAAAGAGCTGGGAGGGGGAAGAGGGAGGGGTGAGCTTCAGAGCAGCAAGTTGTGCATTTGGGTTCTGCTTTCCGTGTGACTCTTAGCAAGTCACTGAGCCTCAGTTTCCCCCTCTGCAAAATGGGCAGAAGAGGTCCTACAAACCTCAGTGTTGTTTCAGAATCACATGGGGTAGAGGACTGTCAGGGCACTCTATAGCTGTAACTATCACCTGCATCTGTAACATGTATGACTGCACGTGAAATTCTCAATTGACTTGGAGTTTGAGAATTTCTGTGTGGAGGAGGGAGAACAGCTGTCCCACTCTGCCAGGTGTTTCCTGACCTCTTGCCTGCTAGGGAGGGCTTTCCCTCTCTTCCATGTGGTCCTAGAAAATCCAGAAACTAAACACTTAGGAAGCAAGACGTTCCCAGCCAGTTCTCCATTCCTGCCCAATTCACAGTGAACCCTAAGCCACTGGTGTCTTCCAGAGGAGCCAAGGGCCTTCTCCAGGTCAGTCAGAAGCATGCCAACAACCCTGTGACTGCTCCTGCCCCGAGTCCCCAGGGGACACCTGCCCACGCCAGCCACTTACCAGCTATCCTCTGCATCTTCATGCGCCTCGCCTGGATGCGGCCCTTGGCCAGGCGCTGCTTGGCGATAATGCAGCGGATATGGTCCGAGAAGACAAAGGTGGCCTGGAGAATGGGGAAGGGCTTGGAATGGGGGCTGGATGCGGGTTTGTGGATGGTGATGTTCAGGGCACGGCTGTCGTCCTCCACACCCGTCACTTGCATGTCCTGCACAGAGAAGAGGCAAAGGCAAGGTACTTTTCAGGCTTGGGAAGGGGCAGATGCTCAGGAGCTGTGGCATTTGTGTCTCATCTAGAACAACTGGTAGAGTGAGGGAGGGACACAAACTAGCCCAGTCCAGTGGGAGAAGACAGGGTGGGAAGCAGAGAGACTTGAAAGGAATCAGTGCTCATTATGGCAGCTAGTACCCATTTCCACAAGGACTTGGGGTGTTTAGTCAGTAAAAGGGTATATCAGCTTCTTCAAGGGGCCACTGGTAACTCAATAGCAAACTCCAACAATTCTTACTACTGAGAAACCAGACATGATGAACCAAGAATTCCTATCACTATCCGGGATGATCTTAGATACAATCACTTGTTTACTTGTTTCTCTTAAGAATAAGGCATTGCTGGCAGCCTTTTGTACGTCTTTGAGGAACTTCTGGTCCCTCAAGGAAAACATTAAAGGAAACACTAAAGGAAAGGGAAAGGAGGGAAAGGATTTTAACCAAGTATAACAGTAGCTGGGTCGAATGGGTCCTCTAGCCCTAATTTTTTGAGGAATCTCCACACTGATTTTCACAGTGGTTGCACCAGTCTACACTCTCACCAACAGTGGAGAAGGGTTCCTTTTTCCCCCGCAGCCTCCCCAGCATTTGTTATTGGTTGATTTCTTGATAACAGTCATTCTTTTTGGAGCAAGATGGAATCTTAGTATTGTTCTAATTTGATTCTTCAAATGACCAATGATGAGGTCCCATTTGACCCAGCTATTTCCCACTTGGTATTGTCCCAAAAGAATTAAAAGCATCATACCACAGTGATATAAGTGTACTCATGTTTATAGCAGCACAGTTTGTAATACAGAAATCTTGGGAACAGCACAAATTCCCATCAACTGATGAATGGATAAAAAAGATGTAGTTTTTTTATTCAATGCAGTACTACTCAGCCAAAAAAAAGGATAAACGTGACAGATTTATAGCTAAATGGATGGACCTTGAGACCATACACTTAAGTGAAATAAATCAGACACACACGTGTAAATACCACACTGTCTCTCTGATGTGAGAAACAAAGTATAAATGAGAACCAAAATGTGTAAGAAATATTGTGAAATAGGAAGAAATCATTCAAAAGGAAAGGGGAACTGGAGGGGGAAGGGGGAAAGGAAGGAAGGGAAAAGAAAAATGAGACAAGGATAAGGGGCTGGGGATTTAGCTCAGCGGCAAAGTGCCTGCCTGGCAAGCGCAAGGTCGTGAGTTCGGTTCCCGGTACCGGAGCAAAAACCAAAACAAAACAAAAAACAAAAAAAAAAAGAAAAATGAGAAAAGGATAAAGTGCAGCCAAAGTTTTGTAAATAAGGAGGGCAAGAGGGGTTGAAGAAAGGGGAAGGGAATGGGAAAAAAAGAGGAATCAAGATATATCATGCACAGGTTCAAATCCCCTATGATGGATGTAATCAATATGTGTATCTAAATTGTGCCAATAAACTTAATTTTTAAAAAAGAAAGCTTTATGTGAAAAGTAAAGAAGAGACTGACATGTAGCAAGTCTAATAAAAAAATTCTCAAAATGGATTCTGCAGAAAGAATCTGGCTCCCACAAAAGTTCAAGGTGATGTGAGATAAAAGCATTAGACAGGAGATAGATACAAAGGTCAGAAATGCTGCAAGAGGTGGGGGAAGTGCTGAAGAAGGCTTAGGAAGGAAGATGGATTTGGTTCTTAGGCACAGCACTTGGCACGGGTCCCCTGGAAAGAACGCCTGCATCAAAATGTGGCTGTAAGGACTAGACCAGGCTTTAGGCATTTACAGCAGGAATGTGGTGCCCAGTAATACCTGAAAAACAGCAGCTATTGGAATATGACCAAAACAAGAGAGAAAGGTGTACGTGGCTTTTATTGTCTGATGGATGACATCTATTAATCCTCTGAGGGAGAAAAACACTTTCCTGACACTAAATTCTAAAGGAAATTAATTATAAGCCTAGACAAATAAGAAGTGTAGGTCTCCTAATGCACAATGTCTTGCGTGGAAGTTTTTCTTTAAGAGAAAGGTCCTCCTACAGTTATTTTTCTCCTTGCCCTCTGTAAAAGATAGGAAGATCCTGAAAAAGGAGAGTGGGGAAGAAGCTGCTTCAGTATCTTCAAATATGTGGGTGGTTCTCATGGCTAGCAGGACACAGATAGTGGGTCATGCTGCAGCAAGGCAGAGGCAGATCAGTCTGGGTAAGATCTAGCCAGAATCCAGAAATGCAAAGCAAGAAAATGGACTGCTTCAAAACAGGGCAAGTCCCAGGCTAAGACATGCTCGTGAAAAATTCAGGGTCCATGGGTATGGCAGAGATATGAGCTGGAAGGACTTCGCTACCCTTCTGGTGCTTTGTTTCATTTACTACCTGGATGGAATTTGTTAAGCATCATCTGATAAACATTTTTTAAAAACCCAAACTCCAACCTAGTGTTTGGCCACTCAGAGTCTTTCTTTACTGGTGAGGGGGTGAGAAGGGAATTCTTATAAATTATTATAAAGCGTACACTGGCAGTATTTGCTAAGACTTCAAATAGGCACATCCCAATTTCTTGGTTAACTGCCCTTGTGTAAAAAGAATTAAGAACAATTCCATTTGCAGCAGGACTTTTGGAAAGATAAAAGGTTGGGAACAGTCAATGGGGCTCTAGCCAAACATGCTTTAGTATTAGTCATCCCAGCAGGTCGACATGTATTGACATGGCCAGCTCTCCAAGACAGTCTAGTGAGTGAAAAAAAGCAAAGTTTAGAATAGTGTGATTCCATAAAAAAATGCACACATATTCTTAAATATATGTATAGACATCCTTTGGTATCCAACAAGGATTATTTCATCAACCCCCAAGGATACCAAAATCTGCAGATGGCTAAGTCCTTTATAGAAAATGGAATAGTATTTGCATATAACTATGCACATACTATCTTAAACTTTAAATCATCTCTAGATTACTTATAATACCTTTTATTTTATTTTACTGGAGTACTGGGGACTGAATCCAGGAAGCACTGAGCTATATCTCCAGCCGTTTTCTATTTTGATATAGGTTATGTATTACTAAGTTACCCGGGCTGGCCTTGAACTCATGATCCTACTGCCTCATGCCTGTGAGTAACTGGGATTATAGGTGTGCACCACTTTGCCCAGCACTTAAAATGGTTAATACAACAAAATTGCAATATAAATATTGCTTAGAGAATAGCAAGGGGAAAAAGTTTACATGTTCAGTACAGGCACAATTTTATTTCAAAGATTTTGATCTATAGTTGGTTGACTCTGCAGAGGTGGAATCTGTAGATATGGAAGGCTGATTATATACAATTTAAAACTACAGTATATGTAATTATACTTCCATACATATTAGGCAGAGAAACAGATCTGAAAGGATCAGCCTGGTAATGGAGTTTCTCTTTCTTCTCCCTTTCTCTCTCTCTCATTCTCTTCCCCTCCCCCTCTTTTTCTCTCTCTCTCTTGAGACAGGGTCCTGCTACGTAGTGCAGGCTGGCCTTGAACTCACTATGTAGCCCAGATGGCCTTGAACTTGCAGCGATTCTCTTGCCTCAGCTTTGGGGGTTATTTCTCACAGAGGAAGGGAGGTGTAAGGATTGGGGATTTTGGTGAAAGCCAACCTTTTTCAGTGTTGGAGGTTAAATCCAGGGCCTTGTATATCCTAGACAAACCCTTAACCACTGAGGTTCATACCCAGCCTACCCTCCTTTTCTGAGACAGGGTCTCATTAAATTGTCCAGGCTGGCCTCAAACTTGCAATCCTCCTGCTTCAACCTTCTGAGTGGGTGGGACTAAAGGCATGTGCCACCACGCCCAGCTATGGTTTAGGCTTTTTCAGTGGCAATTTATTCATATATCTCTTGTATTATTAGAAATAGAGGGGGAGGGAGAAGAGGGAAAGGAGAAGAAAAAAGTTTTACGATATATATATGTACCAACTCCCCAAGATGAATGTAATCATTATGCATTATAAACATGTACTAATAAAAATAAAAATTAAAAAAATAGAAATAGATTGTAAAGATGATAAGTTGGTGCGTGTGTATTTGTAGAGCTGACTGAGAAGAGATTCCAGAGATCTTGGCCTTACCTGGAGAAGGCCTGCAAACTTGACCACTCCCCAGCCAAGCCGGGACACATCAGGCTCCACCAGGCTCATCTGGTAAATATCGACAGCCAGGAATCGCTGGACCATGCCGCCATCCTTGGTGATCACAGTGCATGCGATCAGGTCACTGTTATCTGGGCAAAGGGAACAAAAGCAGGTTGAAGCCCAGTCTGGCCAGCAGGCTTCACAAGGGTTCTACAGCTGCCCCTTGCTCTGCTGGAAAACAGAGCTCAGAGGTCAGTGCCCAGGTCACATGGAAATACATGTGTCTCTTTTCAGCCAGTTTTGCCAGAAAATTTCTTCAGTTCTTTGGCCCTCAGAGTCCTTATCTGAAAAATGGGAGTAATGCACACTCCCTCAAAGCACTATTTATTTGTTAGGACCGATTTAAAGAATACAAACTATTAGGTAAATGTCTACTGGATATAAGGTCCCCAAACTGTACCTTAAAAATGACTATTAGTTGGGGCTGGGAGTGGAGCTTAGTGGTAGAGTGTTTGCTTAGCATGCACAAAGCTCTAACTTTGATCCCCAGCAGACAAAAGACAAAAATAATGACAACAAACCAACAGCCAGGAATCCCAGGAATATTTCAGTGCTCACAGCGACCAATGGCAGTTTACAGTTATGATGGTGTTCACCTAAATAAATGAATTATGTGATGACAGGAAATGCTCTGTAACAGCATCACCAACTCCCCACTTCACTGTCTGACAACTCAGAGCCAGTCTCCATACTACATGGTGTACGATCCTGGGCCAGGTACTTGGCCTTCCTGAATCCTGGTTTTCCTTCTGTGAAATGGGAAGGATGTCCCTTGTCTTGCAACATTTGGCACAGTAAATGAAAACAGGACAAGCATTTACCATAGAATCTTGGGCATAGAAGGTCCTCAGCATATGCTGGGTCCCTCCTCTTACTTGAAAGTTACCCCCAAATTTGATGTCTCATCCAGTACCTGCTCTTCATGACTTTGAAGTCAACGGGGTAACAAAGGATCATCACATCTACAGTCTACTTGAGCTCTCTTCAATGGAACTGTCTACCACATAGACTTTAAACACCCCAAAATGTTTAAACGTGTATGTTTAAACACTCAAAATGTCCCCAAATAGGGGAACAAATTGCATATGCTTTTCCCCATCTGATGAAAAATTACATACCCATGTAAAAAATTCTGCTTAACAAACTGTTAACAGGGGTCACCTGGGGGGAGGAAAGTGAGAATTGAGGGTGCGAGCATAATGTGTGTGTGGGAAGTTTTACTGGGAAAACTTTCATTTTCGTTTCATGTACTATTCTGTTGCTTTGAATTATTTTAAAGTAACAAAGTATGCAAGATATACTTTTGAAATTAATATAAAAAATCCAACTTACAAATCACATTTACATGGGGCTGGGGGCTGGGGCTGTAGTTGCATGAGTGCTAGCTTAGCATGCATAAGGCCCTAGGTTTGATACTCAATACTGCAAAACAAACATATTTACAGATAAGTATAATGACAACGGAAAACATTGTAATTTCAATTCAAAAAAGAGAAGAAAAATTTAATAGTATGAGTTTGAGATGTTTTTAAAAACGTGCTTGCCTACTATTTGTGAGGCCCTGGATTCAAACCCCAGTAACACCTCCCACCCCAGCACACAAAGCCCTGTAAAGAAATACAAGTACAGGGGCTGGGGATTTAGCTCAGCGGCAAAGTGCCTGCCTGGCAAGCGCAAGGTCATGAGTTCGGTTCCCGGTACCGGAGAAAAACCAAAAACAAAACAAAACAAAAAGAAATACAAGTACAGAGCAATGTGCCAAAATATTAACAAGTCTTTGTTGAGAAGAATGGAGGGGGTGGTATTTTTCCCCCTTAACAGCTCTACTGAGGTACAATTTATAGATCACAAAATTCACTCACTTTAAGTGTACTGTGTATTGAGTGAATTTTAGTAAACTTACACTCGTGCATTAGGGTATTAGGTTGTGGAACACATCCATCACCTGAGTAAGGTCTGTTGGAGAACTTCACCCAAACATGTGGCTTAAATTTATTGAAAGAGCCGGGGATATTGCTCAGAGGCTCTATGCTTGCCTGGCAAGCGCAAGCGCAAGGTCCCGAGTTTGATTTCTGGTACAAAAAAATGTATTGAAAGGAGGAAGAGGGTAACACAGATGTTATCCTCTAGCCTCTAACACACAGAGTACACTTGGGCTGTGGTGTTCTTGAAGCCCCAGCCTCTTTACACTTCATTTGACCCAAAGGTGAGAGAAGTCTCCCTGGGCGCTCTCTCATACAGCTCAGTTCAATCCTCTGAGCTATAGTCTGCCTGGGATTCTGGCTTTGTGTGGGTGTTTCCAGTTCAGCCTCTTGGATTTTACAGGCGTCGTGTTTCCATCTCTTCTTTCTACCACACGACACCTGGCCAGATACCCAGTGATAAATGCTGATGGCAAATCAGTCTGTGTGGAATTTTCTTTCTACTCCCAACAGTCCAGTTTAGGATGCTAAAAACTTCAAAAGTATTTCATCCTGAATTTTTAGTCTTCCCTGGATAGCTTTCTCTGGACATCCAGTCTTCTGTATTATCAAAAATGAAAGCCTTCTTATTCATTCTAAGAAACATTGTCTTTGTGGAAGGTATGCTTGTCTTTATTCAGTAAACATTTTTCTCAGTGAGAACCTTGTCCTTTTAAAAGACAGAACAAAAACAGTAGCCACTTTTTTCCTTCCTTATCCTTCCTTTCCTCCCCTTCCCTTTCCCATCCTCTTTCCCTTTTCCAGCAATAGGCCAGCTTGGCTGTCCCCTAGCCTGATACCTGCAGAAGAACTCATCTAAGAGTCAGCCTAGGAAACAGACACTGTTGGTAACAGTGGGGTTTATCAGAGATTGTGAGGTTTGCTGGAGCTGGTGGGGGTTAGCTAGTAAAAGTGGGGTTTGTTGGCAGAGAACCTGACTCCTTCACAAAGCTGAGTTAGCTTAAGGGGCTTCAGGGGAAAAAAGCCCTACCACTTCCACCACACAGAACAAAAAAGGAAGGACAAAACCCCAAAGCGGAACAGCTCTCAGAAATGTCACTGAGACATCAAAGCCCTGTGAGAACTCGGTGAGATTTCATAAGAAAACTAAGACACAGCGTACCCATGAGCAGGAAGGTGCCCAGGAAGGGACCTCTGCTCTTTGTGAGCTGTGGGGGCAGTTCAGGAGAAACACAGCAGCATCCACCAACTACACAAGAATGCCGTTCTTCAGGGAAACTGAGGACATGTTGGTTTTGGATGACTGGTTTGTGGGTGTCTCAGATGTCACTTTAGGGAACTTCTGAACCTGCTTGACTCTCAGCTGCCCCACATATGGGCTGTGGGTATTCCTGCCTGGAGCCCTGGGGACAGGCTGATCATGTTTGGGTGGCCATGGTGTTCTGGGTAGGGGGGTATCTAGAACAGAGTTGTGAGTGGAACCCAATTATGTACACACTCTAAGGCCTCCATCTGCAGCCATCACACATGCATGTATGGATTCTGGTTGGAGTCAGACAGAGCCATGTAGCACACTGAGGTCCCTGAGTGACACAGGTATACATGGGAGGGACTTAGTGGCAGGCAGCTCTGTCAGGTGCATGGCAGCCTAAGGAGCTGCCCTGTTTGAATTGTAGGAGTGGTCCATGGCTAGGAGAGGCTAGTGCAAGTGACAGGTAGCACAAGGCCTCTTGGTCATCTATCTATGGTATTTTCTAGAACTCAGTGTCCTAAATCTTCTAGCTCTCTCCTCCAAAAACTTTTACTTTGAGAAGGGTGGGACCTAGAACTCTACTAAAAATATTGCAGAAAATCATCAGAAGACAATATGGGAAAATAACTACATGATCTAAGAAGCAACAGATGAATAAAGGAGTGAATGTAAAGGATTCAGGGAGGAGGGGATGAGAACAGCCAATAAACACACAAAGAAAGGTGTCCAGCCTCGTGAGAAATCAGGAACCAAATCAAAATAAGATATCATTTTCCACCCACAGGGCTCTGTTTGATAACATCAGGTGTTGCTGAGGATGCAGAGAAACTGGCATTCTCAAAACCTGCTGGTGAAGAATAAATTAACATAGACATTTTGAAGGGCAAATTAGCATTATTTATTAAAACTGAAAGTTTCACATTCTTATGACCTGGCAATTGGTATGTTTCCAAGAAAAACGTTCAGATGTGTGGGCCAAGAGATGTGCACAGGGATGCTGGGAACAGCATTTGTGCCTGTGAGGACTCAAATGTTCAGCAAACAAGGAAATCCTGAGGAAAATGTGTTCATACTTAGATGCCAAAGTGTGTGGTAGGCATGACAAGGAATGAATTAGCTCTCCAGGTAGTTCAACAGGGCTAAGTCTCAAGAACATACTGTGGAGTGGAAACGCAAGCTACAAGGGCAATTTTAGTTTATATGCAGTGTTCTGGATTTCCAAAGGGAAAACAGGTATGTTATTTGCATACTTGAATGAACAGAGAAAAAAGTGAGTCTTTCTGCATTCATTCTTACATCCTAGGTCTTTCTGGGGCTCAGCTGGGGAGGAGGACAGGCCTGGGCCAAGCTGCTGGCCAACTGGGCCCTGCCTGATCATGAAGGCAGTGAACAGTCACAGAACCAGGTGATGGCAAGAGCCTGAGAGGTCTCCAACGGGATTCTAGGTGCGCCGCTGTGTATGTTTCCTCCACAGCAGAGAGCTGTGGTGTCCACCTCAGCCCTCATGTGCACAGTCCATCTTCTGCCCCCAGCCCTGTGCTCACTAGGCACAAGGTAACCGCACTAGAACGAGGCCGAGCCCCCTTGAAGAGGCTCAGGGCCCAGAAGCGAGGCTCAGGCTTCTTCGGGCAGGGCTGGAGGTGCCTGGACTGCTGCCAGGAAAGCACCACAGGCCAAGTCTCTGCTCTGGGGAGGAACAAGACTTGGATGGAACAAGCAGGATGGCAGACATCTCCCTTTCCCCAACACCTCCCAACAGAACTCTGATCCAGGGGAAGCTCGTGTGGCCCTCTCCTAGGCTCTGCCTTTTGTTTTATTTATTGGCAGTCAGAGAGGATTTGCCATTTTACTTCATTTGAAAATAGTAAGTGCATTAATCTCTTTGACTAGATAACACATATGTTCCCATTTTAAA